AATTCTGAGAACAATATGAAAAATCGTAATAACCTTATTGCCTAAAGACATTTTTGTTCAAAATATCTATCACGTGCTTCTCATATATTCTAAGAACTGTTCTTAAACTCTAGTACAGGATATTGTATAACTTTGCAAAGAAAGGTGGTGGAGACCTGGGAAGCGTCTCATTTTGATGCAAAATTTTCAGGCTACAATCCCATGTTGATAAAACATTGCTAGGATTTCAGAGGAGTTTTTAGACAACCGTTCTCCAGAGAAACGCTAGGAAATGTCTATGGGCACACGGCTATCTTATTCATAATCAGCGCTCTTGATTACATATAAATTGCCAGGTTTGAACAAAATCGGAGTGCTTAGGAATGTTCCCTCGTTAGCTGAAAAATAGAGAAATTTTTTGCCTTGCTGAGTTGAGATAATTGAAATTGAAAAAAAATTGAAAATTGAATATTGAAAATTTGAAAATTAATTTAAAATTCAAATTTTGCGTTGAATATTCACCCTTTTTTAAAATGTTCGTCTTTCAATGCTAAATACAAATATCACTTTCAAAATTAATTTCTGACGTTCAGTTTTTTTAAAACTAATTTTACTCGGAACCTGTAGGTCAAAAACCATGGTTTTCCAGACATCCTGCTTCCGAGCACTTTGGTAAAAACGTTTTGCTACACAAAAGAAAGAGCGCGTCGAGAAACCCTTAAGCGTCAAAAAATGAGAATAATTGGACTGATAGGGTAGAAGTTAGCCTAGACTGACTTTCTCATGTGCCACGCCTATTGTAATTCAAAGAGATAACACCAATCTATTTTCGGTTACCTTATACATTAGTCGATAGAGAATTTCACGCTGATCAAGGATATCAGTGTTTCAGCCTTTTCAGTCAAAGTTTCCCAGTTCGTAAAGGACACTTTGAAGTATATGTTCTGAAGTTCTTTCTGCTTGCTGACATTATGTGGCTAAGAAAAAAATTAATTACTTGAAAAAATGATGTTAAATTTCCTTTTAGAAAATTTCCTGATCAAAAGTTGTCCAGAATGTCATTTTCAATGAGAGAAAATTTTACTGGCTCGAAATTCCTTAAAGTCGAATTTTTAATAAAAATTTACGAAATTTTAAATTTTAAAAACCGTATTTTTTAAACAGTTTTTTAAAAAGTCGAGTTTAAGGAATTTTGAGCCAAAAAAATATTATCCCATAGAAAATGACATTCTGAACAACTTTTGCAATCATGCTTTTGCTCCAAAATGCTTCCTTTTCGAGAAACTACGGACAAGGTATTTTTCAAAATACCTTTAGCCCTAAAATTCCACGCGGAAGGCAAACGTTGAATTTCTTCGTCAAACGTCATCGTGGATCGATGAAAACCTCTTTTCTGTATACAACTTGATGTCCTCTATCTGTTGATGTAACAAACAAGTCTTCATTTTAAAATTTAAAGATTTTATATAAATTGCAAAATTTGGGTAAAAAAACTGAAAAAAACTTCAACAATTTTTGTTCTTAAAAAAATGATGTTAATTTTCTGTATAATTTCCTTATAAAACATTTTTTTTTAAAAATTTTTCTGGCTGTTCGTCTTTCATCATAGAAATTTGTTTCTCATCTAGATTGATAGAGAAATGTGCGAGAACATTTACTATGGAAAAGGAAGGAAAGACTTTTGCTCGTTCCTTCCGATTAATACTACCACGCCTATTATGCAGCTTAATTAATGTTAAAAAATCATGTATAAAAAATATGAAACTTAAAAAAATGCGATGAGTTTAAAGGCGATATAATGGAAGATTTTAATATTATATAGTGGTATGTTTCAGATGGACGTTCCCAGTTACCGCTCTATTGCGTTGTTGGCACTGGTAGGATTAATTTTATATTATTTGTCAATCCGAGAGAGCAACTACGGGCCACTGAGGATTGTCTATATCCTCCAGTCCGCCCACAATTCAACTCAAAGCATTGGGACTCTCTCGACATCTACTGGTACTACTGTCACTACGTCAACAACACGATACGTATCGTCTACTACTGGTGATGAGGCGGATGCGCTTGTCGAGCGGGCTCCTCCTCCGTCAGTGCGTGGCGGCAACATTTCAAATAACAGTCTAGCTGTATTTGTCTTTCACACTTCCCATTTTGCACTCGCCAAACTGCAGCTCTATCTTGTTCGAAAGTTAGCCATTAATTTGGTTGCTCTCGAGTTTTTTCTCGACGGGACCGAGTCAAAAACAATGCGCGACATTGCCGATCTGCATAGTGCCCGAATGCATATCTTTCCGCCCAATTTGCACCCGAAAAATGCAGGGCCGTCTGATAGAAACGCCAACGTAGTTAACTGGGGATTAGCAACGGTGGCTAAAGATTTTCTTGCTAATGGTACCACGGTTCTTCTTCTCGACGGCGACGTGCTTCCCTTGAGCCCTTTCGACTCTCAAACACTGTTAAATTCACGTGATATGGTCTGTCGAAAGCATCCGGCTCCGCTTTCCAGATACTGTTGGATTGGATTTATTTGTTTGGCACCACAACTATTCAGCACACTCGACGATTTTAACGTTTCGCCAATCATGCGAAGTAATCGAGCCTATGATTCGGGTGGCCGAACAATTGAATATCTATTGAAATATCGAAACGTATCATTTTCTTGGATGAAAGAGACTATCTTACTTCATACTGATGAGGGACTATTCTGGGGTGCAGTCGATGTCGACATTAAATGGGTCGAACATCACTTTGATCGTTGTGATAAATGTGGGCCCGAAGTCTTCTTATCGGCTGATAATGATGCAGTCTTCTATCACATGATCAGTGGAACTTCAAATTGGAGATTTCCAGATCAACAACAACGTAGCCAATCACTGCATGACTCTCTCATGCGATCGCCCTATGGACCTACTCGACAGTTCTCGATGCTTGAACTGATTGCGTCAGTGCGAAAAGTACAGAAGATGGACATGATACCTTTTCATGGAAATTTAACCTGTTCAACCATTTGTCGAGGTTAACCGTCCAAGAATATAGTAAGATAATGCAATTTGCCAGAGCCCTCGAGACAGGGTAGTAGGATTTTATATGTAATTTCATTGTTTAAAAAGGGGGAATCCAAAAAAGCACGGCAGTGAACGACCCTAAATGGTATAATACGGCAGTTCACGGCCGTTTACTAGGAATTTACGACTGGTTATAGCAAACGTGTGGCCGTTTACTGCGGTTGTACCCATCGTCCTGGAGGCTGTTGTCCTTAGCGTATTTTTGCATAAGGAGCTTTTTGTGGTAAATATTTGATAGAAATAGCGAAATCTGTCGGCCAACTTATTGAAACAAAAGGTAAGCGGAGTCCTGGTGAATGACTTGTTTTATATTAAATTCTTGCATCAGCTGGGATATTCTTTGAATCGTTCTGTTCCTTCTTGCACGTATTTTAAAGGGAACAATGATCTGTGTACATAATTGTACTCCTTCCACTTTGGTTATTCACATAAAATCCTTTAAATATGTTGAAATCAATGATATGAATAGTATGCATAAGTTACATTTTAAAATTGCACAAATTTATTTCGCAGAAAAATTATTTTTATGTATATATTCAACGAGCATTTGAAATTCTAAATGAATTTGAACCATTTAATTATTCTCGCCAATCTCTGATATTCATCTTAATTTTGCGGAAATTTTTTTACGACTAAAGATACGCTTGAAGATATACAAAATTCTTTCATATTAAATAAAAAATATTTACCAATCTATCATATAAAATATATTAAGGGTACCCCGCGCCGCTCTTTTTTGTAAAAAAACTTTCGGATTTTGAGCTGAGCATAGCCTAATGTAGAGGAAAGTGTGGGCTGCAAAATAAGATCAATCCCAGTACTCCACGACCTTTTTTCACAAAAGTTGTGGATTTCTGAAATTTTTCCTTCAAGACCTAAAAAAGCTCAAATTTTTACTTCCATAAACTTTCCTCTCATTTTCTGTACATGCAAAATTTTTCTTACACATAGTCTGATAGAAGAAAAGCGTCTCTTCATAATGAGACGTTTTACAGAACTTTCCGATGAGTTTTCGCTGAGATATAAGCATCGCAGCAAATACTCTGAAAAAGTCACCTATGTATAAAATGCGTTTTTTCTCGAAAACTATTTTTTTGCTACCAGGCTTCATTGTGCCACATTACGACCCCCCTTAAAGTTCATCCGATCGAGTTCAAAATTTTACCAGAGGTACTCAAGACACTATTGCATGGTTAATTTTTGGGAATTTTATTTTCAACTTTCTCTTTATAGTGTTTCTAATAATGAAAAACTTAGTTTTCAAGACGTTTTTCAATATTTTTCCTATAACTTGACCAGAAAAGGTCTCAAAAAAATTTTCCTAAAATTATCTCTGTGGAATGACCTTGAGTACCTCTGATTTTTTTTGAACTCGATCGGATGAAATTTAAGGAGGATCGTAATGTGGTACACTGGAAAACTCGTGAACGGCAATAGTTGAAAACTTGAAACAAAAACGAAAAGTGCTCCATTGATTTTCCAATCAGTTCTGAAAATACGAAGCCCTAGCGACTTTTAGTTTTTATTTCATAGCATTTCTATGGAAAGCCCAAAAAGAGAAGAGGAATACCCTTAACCTATATTCATTATTTGGATTAATTTATTACCGTCTTGCACAATAAAAAGCGGTCGATTTTATTCACACAAAAGAGTTGTGTGTTTCTACGAGCAAAACATAGAAAAATGACCGACAGGTATTCCATGGATAAACTAATCAAAAATAAGATAGAGTGTTAATGTCACAACGTCAGATGTGACTCTTACATACATAGAGTTAACCGGAATTTAGTGGCAAAAGTTATTTTTAGCAACACAGAGAGCCACTTTACAATGTAACATAAGGAAAAAGTATCTTCAGAGTTGCATAATCTCTCATTAAAAAGAAGATTCGAAGTTCTTCGAAACTGGATCCAAGCAAACTTCTGAAAAGTTTTTGCTCGGACGATATATCAAGATAATTGGAAGGCACACTATTTTGATGCAACTTTCCACAATTTTTTCTCAAAAAGTTATAAGATTTGAAGTTCGGTAACACATTCAACTTTCCGGTTATGCAAGAGTTTATATTTGAACTGCGACAAAAATCATTTCTTTTCGTTTTAAAACATTTTATTCTTCCTCACGTGTTTTTTCCGCTATGTAGCGCGAAATACGAAACAGTGATATTCTTTTCTGTGCATTTGTGTACTGGTTGCCTTTAAGTTGATTCTTTCTAGAAGTTGGTATATGTAAAAAAAAAAAAGAAGTATATTTTTGTTTTATTGTAATTTTTGATATGGTATTTCTGTTAAATATTCTACACTTTTTTGGTAACAGCCTATGGGCTTAACAATAAACGGAAAGTCAAAAAAAAAAAGTTGATTCTTTCTTTGCGTTATTTTTCACTATATTTGTGCATAAAGGCAACGAGCAGCCACATGCACAGAAACGAAAATCACGGAGTATATAGCGGAAAAAACACGTGAGGAAGAATAAAATTTCTTTTAATAAAAAAGAATTGATTTTTGTCGCAGTTCTATTCATTCTCTTCTCACTTACACATTTTTTTTTTATGTATCTACAAAGAATTTTTAGACGTAAAAGTTTTATTTACTTTACTCATATACACGTGTATAACAATATTTCCAGTTTATTCTTATGTAAAACAAGTAACTATTAGTTAAGAGAATTGTCAAAAATACGTATGAATCATGACATTTTACAAGGAAAGATGAGTTAGAAACATTTAAAGTAAAAATGCTCTATGAAAGGTAAAAATTCTCATAGAGGAGAGTTGCACTGAACATACACATACTTTCAAAGACATCTATTTGATCTCTCTCTCTCTATGTTATTAATTTTATTTGCACAAACATCTAATCATAATTAGTGTTCTTGTCAATCAAACTTTTCGAAATATATATCTCACTTCGTAAAATGTCACTAGACTTGATTGATAACGAAGAAAAACAATCCGAACAAGTATCAAATGAAAATGAATGGTTAAAATCATGTTATAGTAATGAAATAGAAATAAAAGAATTATTATTAAATATTAAAAAAGATAAATTAGATATAAATAACATGATCGATAATAATGGAACTAGTTTATTACATATTTGTGCCTTACGTGGTTATGATAAATTATTATACTATATATTAAATAAATATGATAATTATATTAATATTAATGTAAATATAACTGATAAATATGGACATACACCATTACATTGGGCATGTATGGAAAATAATGTTGAATGTTTAAATATATTACTTAAATATAATAATATTAATTTAAATATGATAAATTATGATGGATTATTTATAATTAATCATCAAACACCCATATATTTAATTGGTGGTCAAACATGTTTACATTTTGCTTGTGAATATGGTCATATTGAATGTGTATCATTATTACTACAAAATATGATAACTAAACAAATAATGATTAAAGATTTTAATGGTTATACACCTTTAGATTTAGCAATTATGAATTCATCACGTAATAATAAATGTTATGAAATTGTAAAATTATTTAATCAATTTAATATGAATGAAAATATTTATGATAAAAATAAACAAATATTGAATCAAAATGATTATTTTATTCAATTTTGTAAAGATCGATTAAAAGTTCAAAAACGTATTGCAAACAAAATTAAAGATACTTTACCAAATATGCATGGAAATTGTTGTCATACATGTCGAAAATTTTATCAAATTTCTGTTGATGATACTAACGAAAAATGACTGGATTATCCTCATGATTGTAAGGAAAGGGTCATAAATCAGAAAATATCTGTTTACTTGCTTGCTTATTTGTAGACAAAATGGTGGACAAGTATTTTATAGAGCCAGCGAAAATTTTACTTCAAAATGTTCCGTTTTTTTGAAAATGTTTGCATAAGTTCGTGTATGAGGTAACGAAAAAATCGAATTTCCATGCGAGATCGATTTCAGCTAATATAGGTTTTCACTAGGTTTTTGAACTTTTTTCGAAAAAGAAACATTGCCATGGGATTCACGCGGGAAGATCACTAACTGATAACTCGCTTTTTGATCGACATCTGGTAGGTTATAGGTTATCGACCATGCTGATTCCGAATATGATCATGGACGTTCTCCTTAGTCCTTTGAAGGTCCGATTTTCTGGAAAACCAATTTTTTAGAAACTCTAAAAGATAACCAAAACGTTTCTTAATGAGACACGATTGTGGCTCACAAATTTCTGATGAAAATTAGACATCTCCCAACTCTATACAACCTTTCTTTGCAAAGTTAGAGAATTTACAAGAAAAGCTCTCAATGTTTATTGTCTGCTCAAAGCTACAGAAATAAGAAGGAAAAAATTAATTTAGAGCTTTTCTTATAAATTCTCTAACTTTGCAAAGAAAGGTCGTGAAGTGCTGGAAGATGTCTTATTTTAATTAGAAATTTGTGGGCTACAATCGCGCCTCATTGAGAAGGTTCTGGTTGTTTTTTAAAGTTTCTAAAAAACTCTAAAAAATAATCAAATCTCTCTCTGGTTTTACAGAAAATCGGCTAAGGGCTAAGGGGAATCTCCATGGTCGATAACCTATAACTCACTAGATTTCGATCAAAAATCGATTTATCAGTTGTCAGCGGGAAGGATAACCCATGTTTCCATTCACCTTCGAGATTACCACACATAAGGAAATATCGACCTTGGGACTTCGAGGAAATCCGATACCACTCCTAAATCACGAAAGATTAAGAGATTGCTTAGTTCCCATTTTGTAGAGAATATTTTAGGGTATCATGCCTATGTGAGACACACAAGGGTGCACTCTGATAAATCTTGGAACAACGATCTAGTCTTTCAAAGGCTAATAAGGAATACTACCTGCGGGTGGTATTTTCTGAGATATTTTTATGTCAACTTGTAGTTAAGTATCTTCTTTATACAATGATAAAAACCGTGTATTTGAAGTATCTTGTTCAAAAAGTTATTAAAGAAATAGTCACTGGCATTCTTTTTCTTTTACGAACAGTAAATCAAAAAAACTGTAAAAAATTTAAAATCCAAATCAACTAAAATCCACATCCATGAAAAATTAAAACCAAAATACAGGATTTTGTAGCACTTGAATAGCTGATTCAAATGATGTATGACTCGTTATATTTGACATAAAGAGGTTTAAGAAAAAAAGAATGCAAACGACCAGACTACGGTGAACTGGCATCAATTTTAGAGAAATATTTTATAAAAAATCTATTAGATAGAAATTTTTTCTTTCTTTTCTACATATATAATAACTATAAATAATTGTGCATCTTAACATACTTGAACCAAATTTTGTGATCGAAAATCAGCCGCTAGACCAAAAATTTTGGCCAAAGTCCAACGTTAAAAAAATACATAATTTCACCAATATTCATAAGACAACCGAATTTTCTCGAAAAGGCATAGTACTCAACGCATCCTACAAACTGACATAATCTGAGGACACCTTTGAGGTAGTTACTCCCTTCTCCCTTAAGTAATTAATTCTAAGGAAACGGGTTGATCTTGGAATATAGCCAACTTTTTGTTTTCCACGGTGACGAAAACGAAATCGGAAAACCAAGGTCTGTTATGCCATGACAAGTGTTGGCTACATTTCAAGACCAACCCGAACTTTTTATCACATAAAATAGCGGAGAACTCTTGAAATTAGGCATGCTACAAGGGTAAAAATCTATTTAGACGAAAGAAAGAAGAAAAGAAAATCAGAATTTTTGATGCTCATAGAAAAATGCTTATAACCTTTAACTGAAATATCGCACAGAGCTCAGCAACGTCTCATTTTAGAGAAAACACTTTTCTCTATACGAATAGGTGCTTGAAAAAATTTCTAGTTATCACCACACATGTGGGCGATTTTTGCAAAGTGAACAATGATAAATTATGATCTCCAGTGGCCAATCTTAACAAATGCATTACTCCAGAAGGAAAAGTCAGAGAGAGCTGATGAACGTCTCATTTTGTAGAGAGCACTTAACTATATATTGTGGCATATTTAGTTTGAAAATTGATAGTCTTAATAGAAGAGAAGACCAGAAGTACTCTTTAACAAACTCAATTTTCAATTTTGATCCCAGTTAACGGATGGTAAACGGCTAAAATGCGTAACTGTCACCCTCAGCTGCGGTAGGTTGAGCGATATTTTTTCTCTCAAACCAGCCTTAAAAGCCCATCATTAGGCACAGTTTTTTGCGCTGATTACGAATATCAACTTTAAAACGAACGAAACTCAAATTTTTAAATCGAAAATTCCAATTTAAAATTTAGAAGTTTTTTTATTTCAATTTTCTGACATACTTAGTTTTTTACGAAGTTTCAGAAAGTATATCAGTGGATAAAGAATTAAACTCTCTACAAAATGCACCACTGACTTTGTCGAAACAATCTTAAAAAATGCATTTTGTACACTAAACAAGTTTTTGCTGGTTTTTGCCGAATTCGAAATGATACTTTTTTTGGAGCAATTCTACGAAAATTAAAAACATTTCTTCCACCGTTCTTTTTTGCTTAGTTTGATAGAGGGCACTCGATTGCATAAGGCTCCGTGCAGATCAAGTTTATAGAAGTCTTTTTTACCGGTAGAAATATAAAGATAAAATCCACCGCAAAAGAAAACAAAAAAATGATGTAATTCCGTTATGACATGTAATTCCGTCACGGAGCCATTTTGCTTGTTAGCTCGAATCAATGAGTATTTATAGTGCAAGTCACATCGCCATCAGATGGTTAATTCTTTGTATCTTGAAGTCTACAACTATGTCTAGTATAATAATATGGTTAGATTTCCAATCTTGTAATGTCCTTTCTAATGAGCCAGAAAAACAACACTTTAAGGCGACAAAAAAATTTCTTCTCGTTTCCTTCTTGTTTTTTCAGACTCAAAAACAAGGCAAAAAAAGAGTTCTTCTAAAAAGATAAAAGTATTAGTTAAACTTGCATGATGAGCACGCAGAAATCAGTGAGCTAATCAAGTACGAAATGTGACAGTGCTTTCTTTGTCGCGAAACAAGATAATCGAGAATTGTTCAAAATGTCTGACGCAACGCCACTTTGAATAACAGGCACAGTACTCACCTTGAGTTGACAAATACTCATCGGATTATGAACGTGGCACAATTCTTCTCTGAAGTGATTCTTCTACAATTATGCACTCGTCTGAATAAAGATCTGACTTAGATTTAAAATGCAAAATGAAGAGGTTGTAGGAGACTATGTGTTAAAATAAGGAACCTACGAGGAAAAAAAATGATCGAATTAATCAATAATGCAACTGCTTTTCTCTGAATATTTTAAGAGGACATCAGCACTCATACAAGAATCAGGATGCACAGCTTTAGTTGTCGTTCGTCAACACTGGATGATGCAGCCAAATTATCATGATTCTAGTCTTTCCAAATTCCTCGACTAGTATTTCTATTCTTAACTTTGTTGAAAATACAGTGCTCTGTTAATACTAGCGTTATTTCCAATAGCTTTAAACCGATTTAGAAATGCTTCAACTGCATGTAATGTAAAACAATATGAGCTCATTTGTATCATAGAATTTGAGTACAGAGAAGACTCTTATAATGAAGATATTATGTCACAGCTGTATTTTACACGTAAAATTATCTTCGAATGATAACTAAGACTAGAATATTATTCTAAAATGGGCTCTACTAAGATTTCAGTACCTTCGGCAATCATTGTAAATCATTTATCATTTTTCACTAAAAACGATTGAAATACATAGTATTGTTAAAAACATAAGATATCTCTAGGCTGGCAGTCGTAACTTAAGTTACGGTAGTTTCTAAGATCTTGTTGCTTGATTAGAGATTAGGAGCGAGTAGGATTTAAATTCAACGAAAGTTGTTATAAACGGTTTTGTTTATAGTACTTTCTGTGGGGCTTTCTAATTTATAATATAAAACTGCGTAGAAATTTACTGACTTGATTAAAGTACATGGAGACAACTATAATTTTTCACTCATTTGATTTTTCCTCTTTTTAACCATTTCCCTCTCCTGTTGATGAACCATTTAATCCACTCCACTTTCTGCCACGTACGTATCGTACGGCTGTGCTAAATCTAAAACCATCTTTATCGAATGAAATTTCACAGAGAAATTTAACATTCATCTCGCTAATAGGATTTTAGGGTAAAACTGTTTTGCCAGGCGCCTTGAACAAAGATTCACTTTGGAGAAGCATTTTAGAGCGAAAATATGGACACAAGAATGTAATGTTGATGCATAATTAATGAATTAAAGTGTGAGATTTTGTCTCGTTTAGAATTATAGAATAGGAGGACAAGCGACAATTTCTAAGTCTAAGAAATTCGCCCAGCCCTCAATTCATCGGTCAAAGCAGATTGAAAAGACAAGAAAGAGAAAAGTCAAGCGCAAAAGATATTCAAGCGTTTGAGATAAGTATCTCACGCGCGTCAGTTTCTTGAGATACGAAACTGAAACAGATGAATCAAGTCAGTCAAGCACATAACTCGGAAAAAAACGCGTTTTGTACGAGTAAGAAATATCTCCACACCATAAATTTCTTACTTAAGAAACTCAAGAGAGTCGTGTGCTTCAGAAAGACAGCTTCACTAGGAAACACACATAATTATTGCTGTTGTATTTGAAATACTAGCTGGTCTCATCTTTCTAAATATAAATCAAACACTTGACATTAGCGTTAAAAATCGTTTCTCTTCCAATTTCTTTTCATTTTCTAGTATTTTCTTTGTGTTTGTTCTAATACATCTGTTTAATTTTCTCGTCTCTCATTTCCAGAAATTAAAAAATCATTTAATTGTCAACTTGCCAATTATATCAGCGATCATCGATACGCTTTGTACAAAAGATGCCATTCAATATCCGGCTGAAGGACGACTAATTACACCGTACCTCAAAATGGACTTCATTCGACCGAAACGTGACTGGTCAAACAAATTTCCTGATGTGCTGCGGTGGCAAGGCAGTATTAAATGCCGAAATTATCAAATTATAACGGCTGATGATTCGTGGTCAACAGATATCGATGATGATATCCAGTTATATTTAATCAATCGCTTCGAAAGATGGTTTTGTAATTTTACTGAAAATTCAAGTAGTGAAAATACAGCATTCACAATTCGAAATTCTTCTGGACTGCAATATGATGGCAATTGTTGGCAGAATTTCAAAACATTCAATAATTACACTTATCAAGTTTCATTTCTATGCCTGCATCGATGTTTATCAAAATATCGCGTGAGAGACGGAATAATCGATTGTGAAGAAGCAGATGAACAGATAATTGATCAAGTTGACAATTCATGTCCACGTGTTCAACGTCATCGACTTGTGTGTTCGTCTAATGAATCGTCTTGTCTGATGGCTGGTGCAGTCGGCGACTTTGGTACGTCATGTTCAAACGATCGGGATGAATATATGAAAAATGGTTTTGTTATCCAAGATAATGTCATCTATCAAAAACGAAACGCTGACGGTTGTTCGTTTCTTAAAAAATACATCAATACACCTGATTATGTTATTCCGCTGGTGACAAAGATTTCATTTCCGTACTATTGTGATTCATTCTTTAATACAGAATCAGGACGAGATGAAATAAGCGATTTATGTCGCCACTGGCTTTGTCCGGGTGATCAATTTAAATGCTTAACTGGACAATGTATAAAACAAGAATGGCTTTGTGATGGTATGTAGACAATATTCCAGTGTCATTAATAAATGTCATCGTATTTTAGGCGTATGGGATTGCAGTGATGCGTCTGATGAAGAAGGATTGTTTTATAATGGATAGATTAGATGAACATAATTCCAAAATAATTAATTTAACCGAAATAAAAGACAAATGTCGACAACAACATCGACAAAATAATACGCCATTTTCTAACTTATGTAACATTGAGGAAGAATATCCATGTTTTCGAGCTAATGCTGTTGATCCATTTAATTTTGACATCAATCTCTCATGTATCAATATCAGCCAAATTGGTGATAGAATCATCGATTGCGTTGGAGGCCATGATGAGCGGAATACATTAATATGTAATAATCAAGGGATGCTGGGTTATCAATTTATGTCTTGAAGTGGAGCATGTACAAGTACTTTTATCGATCTTTGTGCAAACTGGAAACCAGGGTCTGAACGTGATACTGTCTGTTTTCAACAGTGGCAAAAAAACGACAGCATCAATAACTGCACTACTCAGTCGGACGTTATGTGTTTGAATGGTAAATGTATCAAAAATGCTAAATGTAACAAAATAGTCGAATGTGACTATGGAGAAGATGAATACTGGTGTAATGTTGAACCAACAGTTGATCACCATAGATATAGAAGGTCAAAAATGATGTCTTCCAACATGATTACACACTTTAATTATCCGATAGAAACAAAGAGAATTCTAACAGTGATATCGATTGCCATTGAAGAAACGGACGAATCGAAAATCAACAATGGGCATTTAGCAGTAAAGCAATCGAGTTCCGAAATACCAACATCATCAAAAAAATCTTTCAGCTACAAATCTGTTTATGAATACATATTTAGTATGTGGCCTGATTACTTCACCAACAATTTTCATTACTATTATTTACCATATTTCTGCAACCGTGGTCTGGCGGTGAAAGATCATTCTAATGTTACAAAATGTTTTTGCCCACCCAGCTTCTACGGTCCACAATGCGAGTTTTATAGTGATCGAATAACAGTTGTAACACATTTAGACCTAAGAAATTATTATATTCAAGGACAATCAACTGTGATTAAAGTATTAACAACATTTCTGTTTGATGATCTGATTATGGATTATTATGAATTTCATGTTTATCCATCATTACAAACAGAAGACAATTATGTTAAGCAAAAAATGTACTTTCTGTATCCAAGAACAAACGAATTTATTCGTTTGAAGACGAATCAACGTAGCGGTACACAGTTGTACAAAGTTCGTTTTGAAGCATTCGAACTATTTGATACAATGAATATCAACCCAGTTGGCGTATGGGATTTTCCAATTTATTTCGACAATCTACCATCATTTCGTTTAGTCAAAATACTACGAGTGGAACAGTCCAATACAATTTTCATTAATAATCAGTGTTCTGATCATCCTTGTGGAGCAAATGGTGTTTGCCACATCGTTATTAATAAAAATGAATCATATTTCTGTTTATGCAAAAGTGGCTACTTTGGTAAACATTGTGAAACCTTTGATCCATTATGTTCTGGACACTGTTCACCTCAATCAATTTGTAAGCCAAATTACGGTGGAATCATCACAGGAAACCGGGAGCCATTATGCGTATGTCCAGCCGGTGTTTTTGGGCCGACATGTCATTTGAGAAATGATCATTGTAACAGCAGTCCATGTTTGAGCAATGGAACCTGCTATGTTACTTACGAAATGGCTGATATTCAAAATTATACGTGTGCTTATACCAGCGCATTGACCATTGCCAATATGCTAAAGCGTCTGTTTGTGTCACATTCGGTCCAACACCCAAAGCCGTTATCGAATCAAATGCAATTCTTGCATCGAGTGTGCTATTATGCGATATCAACAATAAAACATTGAACCTTGTAATTCGTCATCAACAAGTGTATACTTCTGTACCACCATACTTACAGTACAATCACACAGTGAGCATTTCCTCATAGAGCAGGCGGCATTTTTTGCCGACATAGTTTTTTTGAATCCAAAATCACTTTTTTATACGTTTTCGCATACGGTATTTCCAGCAGTGTGGCAAAGGTGAGTCGCGGAAGGTTTT